TTATCGCCATTATATCGTCTGCTTTTTTAATAACTTCATTTTATATACAGAAAAAAAACAAAAAAAAAAAAAAATATTTGCAGATTTCAAAATTGCGCATAAGTGCATTAAATACTTCTGAGTACATCAGATAAGGTAGAAATATTATAATCAAAGCATGCTGATAAAGCATTCTGATATATAAATGTCTGACAGAGGCAAAATTTACTAGAAGATTTTTACCTTATTTTCTATGCATAGTAAGGCAACAAGTAAAGATGATTCTGAAGATGTTTTATGTCCAAAAATGATATTAGCTGCATGATAAATTTAAGCAAACTGTTATTTACATTTGAAAGTGTCACAATTATAAAATATTCCCCCTCTTTTTTAAAGCAAAATATATTTTTATGTAAATATAGGATTTAGAATAAATACATTTTTAGAAGTCAAATTGTGATTTGTCAAGATCTGGATTCTATTCATTAATAACACAGTAAATGATGATTATTGTTACATTTATTTCAATATTGTTATTATTTTTCTGTTCCATTAGAATTTATTAAAATTCTTCTTGTAAAACAATTTCAAAAATATAAAATGTTGTCCCTCTCTGTAGACATATTTATAATTTTATACAGTCAAAAGTCGTTAATTCGGACACCCATAATCCGGAATGATCTATAATCCGGACCTCAAAGCTACAAACTTTCTGCGCATGCGTCGCGTTCACGCATGCGCACAGGCGTTTACGAGAACGCATAAGACCCTTACAGCTGCGAATATGTTTGTGCGCATGCGCGTTTAATGTGTAACGAAGTTATACGCTAAGCTTAAGTTATCTAATTCAGTTAATGTTGCAGATTGCGTTGTTCCTTAATCTTCGAATTGGATCCGGCTTATTATTTTTTTGAGGACTGTTAGAGCAATTTTATAAAAGTAAGCTTGAACTTTCGATTATGTCAAATAGAATTTCCGATATATATTTACTACAAAGCGAAAGTATGTTTTGAAATCCGAAATCTGTTTATCAATTTCACGCTGCTCTGCGGCAAAGGGGGGGCAGAAACGTCATTATTAGATTATGATAGATTAGAAAGATTGTCAAATAGAATTTCCGATATATATTTACTAATAAGTAATTTGTATCCACAAAGCGAAAGTATGTTTTGAAATCCGAAATCTGTTTATCAATTTCACACTGCGGATTGGAAGTTGATCTGTCAGCACTATCCTTATCTTCAGAGCAGATGTTTTATTTTTTTGGTTGGTTATAATTCCGTACTAAGTGTAGTATTTCATCTCGATATACTCCGTCTTTGATATGATTTAAATCAAGTTCCTCGTCATTATAATTCGCTTCCGATAGTGAAGAAAGTGACCCAGAGGTTATTGAAAACGAAAACATTTCGATTGACAAATTAGTCGGTATTCTCAACACAGCAATTATAGGACTTGAACAGCGGAACTTTGTAACTAAACAAGAAATTATGTCTGTTTAATAGAATTAAAGAGAAAGTATTATCACATGAAACGAAGCAACTTACATTGAAGGAAATGTTTAATAAAGTAAACAAATAAATATTAGGCTTTTTCTTTTTGTAAATTTTGATACCCTTTAGATCATAATTGTTCTTTATTCCATAAATTACGGTTTCATATTTTTAATTTTGTAATTTCTGCATGCCATCTTACCAGATTTAAACTGATGATCTATAATCCGGAAAAATCGATAATCCGGAATCGATAGTCCCAACGAGTCCGGATTAACGACTTTTGACTGTATCAATCAAAATTCTAACACCTGCACACGTATGCTTTCTGTCAACCAAAAATACAAAGTAAGTGAGTTTAACTAAAGAATGACAATCTAAGTTCAGAATGACAGCACTGACAATTAAGCCGTTGGTGCTTTCAATCATATACTTTCCAATTGGATAACTACACTGGTTTTCGGCGAAATCCCGGTTTCCTTATGTTAGAAATCTGCATTTAAAAATCTTGCATAAATTAGGTTAATTGATTATCTAAATACCAAAAAGCACATGGAGACTAACCAAAAGGAAGGAATTCCTTTTTGGAGACCTTTCAGAGGAAAAGTGGCTTGTTACACACGAGGAAAATCATGAAAACTATGCATCCAACCCGTTTGGGTCCGGGACGTACTTACCAGTATTCAGCAGTCTTTAACAGTTCAGCCATTGACGGGACCGCTTAAATTACGTGTCAGGTTATCAGATCCTAATTTATTATTTCATATGCAACTATTTAAACTGTTATTATATTCTCAGACAAAAGCAATAGAGTTTTAATAATGCATTAGCATTTGAACTAGAACTGTAGTGGAAATAAACATTCAGTTACATTTGCTGTTATTGTATTCAGTTGATATTCGTGGAATCTAAGCTATAGATGGAATGATTATCTCCCTGTGTTTATTAATCCTGGGAAGATTAAACAGGTGTTTAGATTAAGTACATTAATTTTTCTAAGAAACTGTGGTGTCAAAACAGTGCTACAATTTTAAAAAATTGTCTGAGTAACGGATTTCAATAGTTAAGAATTAAGCAGACGATTTTTAATCTTACGTTAGTGTCAAAAACTGTCCTATTACATGATAATGCATCTTACCGCTGGTCAATAACCACTTGACATAGCTGTTCTGTTCTGAAAATAAGTATGTGTACTAAGTCATCTCGTGTATTTTACAGATTTGTCTCTGCGATTATTTTCTCTTTCCAAAATCTGAAGTGTCTTTTAAATAAAAGATTTCTCTAAACCCTTCGAATATGCATCGAGTGTGCTTTCAATTACACCATGAAAACATGCAAAAAGGAGGGAGAAAATACCTTATAATGGAATACGCATTTTTACTGATACCTTATAACTGAATATTTTATACTTTGAGTGTTTTTATGATAATAAATCTTTTTATTATCTAAATAAAAATATAATAAATTAGAACAAAACTAATGAGAAATTGCTTTTTGAATGACATTTTTACCCTAATTTAATTTTTTACATCAGTTCTGTAAATATTTTTCATGAATAAATTTTCCTTCAAAATAAAATAACATTAAAAAAATAAAAGCATGCTGGATGATTTTTCATCTGTAACTCCATATAATACCATTCAGGCTAACAATTCTTGTTGATAACAGAAGAATTTAAATAATATGACTGTCACTTAGAGCTTTAGGCTTAATTTTCTTGCTTATTTTTTACAGTACAGGCTCTCTGTTTACATATATATTCAATTTAAAATCCTATACAGTTAAATAGAATTTGAGCATACAGGAGAGCAAAGTAATGTGCTTTCCTTGTTAGTACACTAGTGGGAGTGCAAATTCTAATAAATGCTGCAAATTTATTCTTAGCTTGCTGCCTGACTGTAATACATGCCTTTTTGCACAGAAACATCTGATACATGTCAAAGTTTTTTATACCCTAAGAATGAGGATTTCTAACAAATGCTCTTCCTGGTTCGTTTAAAAGAACTCCTTTTATAACTATACACATTAATGAAGAGATATTATGAATAATTTTTTAATGAGCTATTATGAATTACTGATACTACTTTTATAGTATTTCAGCTCCAGTACATATGTATATATACCATGTGGCCATAATTAAACTGACAGTGCTCACAGTGTTTTGTAGTGCGATCTATTTGCGAGAATGACACCACATTTTGTAGGAAGATTAAACAAAACGGGGGACGAAGGATTCCGCGAAAAAACAAATTAGTTCCAAAAGTCACCACTAGGGGAATATTTAGCGCTGTGTAATAGAAAAATAGAGTGTAACTTGTCTCCCCATAAGATTTTCCACGGCCAAGCATCATCCATCTCCATTCTGGCAAGAAAAGTGAGAGCAAAAGTCAATCGCTTATCATGGTCGGGGTACAGTAACTCCTGTACACGGCTGATCTTGTACGGATAGAAGTTGATAATCTTTCGTAAGATTTTCCATACCGTACTGTAAGGCATATCCATATTCCGAGCTACTCCACGAGCGATAGAGGTGGCAGCAATATTGTCTGGTCCTCTGTCGACAATTGCCGTGGCAACTGCTTCGATTGTATTCCTGTGGGTACAGGTTTTCATCCTCTGCCTGACTGAACCTTCAGAGAACTTGTTTTCTCAAATGTCGCAACCATTGCTTTTCAGCCCATTAACTGACACAGGACCATTACATTTATGCATTTTTTTTTTTTTTTTTTGTGCTTTCTAAAAGCACGAAGAGCAGCTGACGCATTGCACTGGTTGAGGTAAAAGAATTTCACTAGTAACGCACGCTTGACTAAAGAAGGAGACATTGCACATAAACTTTCAATCCGATTGATTCAAAACGTAACACATTACCTTTTGAAACCCAAGCAGCTGGCACTATGCGAATGGATGTAACGTGAAATTTGAATAAAGAACTTCTGCTCAGCGTGCATGATATTGCAGATCACGAGACTTTATCGGTGTTTATGTAGATTTTACGCTTTTTAAAAGTGTTGCCATATTGCACTTGAACTAAATGAGAAAATGTGCATAATAAAAGGTAATTTTATTCCGTATTAATTTGCATTTGTTAACACTCTATTTTCTATTACACAGCGCCAAATATTCCCTAGCGGTGACTTTGAACTAATTTGTTTTTTCGCGGAATCCTTCGTCCCCCGTCTTGTTTAATCTTTCTACAAAAATGTGGCATCATTCTCGCAAATATATCGCGCTACAGAACACTGTGAGCACTGTCAGTTTAATTATGGCCACCCGGTATATATATATATCATATTTTCAGAACTCAATACAAAATTCATTAAATTGGTATCAGTTTTAAAGAAAGCATTGCTATTGGTGTGTGTCCCTTCTACATTATCATATTAAAATAATTTTTTATGCGATTGTAAATTCCTTTGATAAATTTTTTTTCAGCAAAGGGACATTTTTATATAATATGTCTAAAAATTTATCAAAGGATGCAGGCATAGTACAGATGAAACAACTCTAATAAATTGAAGTAAATGATAAGTTTGGATAACAGAATTTATTTATTTTAAAATATACATAACTAACACATCAGCTTCTAAAATCTTAAATACTGAGTCTTCATCAAAAATCTTTTCTTAATATATCTGTGCCAATCCAATATTAAATCATCATATGTGATTCAAGATTAATTTGATATTTTTTTCAGGAATATTCATTTATTCTAAAAGAAAAGTTCAGCTTTCAGTGTCTATAATATGTATTTCACTTCACATAAAATATTTTATTAATCTTTACAGTATCAACACAAAGAAAATGTAATACATTAAAAAAATCCACAAATAAAACAAGTTTAATATTTTGTATGATAAAATGAAATAATTTAATCAACATAAAAGTAAACACTGACATATTTTTCATATAATATTTTATAATTTGGAAATTAATTTTTAAATAAAAATGTACCTCCACTTCAGTCACTAAAGTGATTCTCTCTCTCTTTAACCCACTGTGTATGTAACTTGTATTGAAGATACCCAACTTTCCAATGGATGACATTCAGTAGTAATATCTGAAGTACCTTTTTTATTACTATTATTACTCCTTATATTTGGCATTTAATTTTATATTCTTAAATTTTTTATCTCCTTTAAAAATTTTTTTGATCAACATATCAATACATATTCAACTAAGTAAATGATCTCAATGCCATTTTTGCCAATAATAGTAAGAAAAACTCTTGATTTTACCTTTTCAGTGCTTTTAATTCTCAGTTTTCTAAATATGCAGTTTAATTCTTTCATTTCTTTGAATTACAACAGCAATATATTACAGTCACTTTATTTGAGTTATAGTTTTGTAATGTAATGCTTTTAATTTTTTAATATATTGTTTTCGGCTGAACTGTCTCTTTCACTCAAAACACCCATGTGCAATATCTTTCTCTCCTAATATTGCAAATTAAAGTTTTTTTTTTACAGTTCCACCATTGGTTATTAGAATAAAATCACATAACATAAATAATAGGGTCTCAATAACTTCTTCCAGCTGTGTAAACATAATTATCCTCTACATCAAATTAGATCCCCAGGCATTATACAATACAGAACTACATTAAAAAATTAAGCAAATTATTTGTTACTGTTACCCCAGTAGATATTTTTTGTACATGTATACAAAATGTTCGAAAAAGGTGGGTACATACTTATTTCTTTAAATACTAAACCCAGGCTCATATTTCTTATTACAAAGTTTCTTAAAGCACAGTAAGGAACTTTATAGAAGTTTAAACATGATGAGTAGAAGGATACAATAAAAATGAAAGGTACTTATAATTAGAACCAACCTAAGACATTTTGCTGCCTCTTTGACAGAATTATTACATGTTTAATTGTTTAGGTCAATTTTTTCACCTTCAAAAATCTTTATACAGACTATGTACTATAAGAATTCAATAAGACAGAATTCACGAACGGATTTTAATCAATGGAAGATTAAGTAAGCATAGTTATTTTCTTAATTATAAGTATTGATTATACAAAAGACAATCAGACATAACTTTCATAAGTTAAAATAGAATATTAGTTCTATATTACAAATATGAGAAAATATTCATAAATGAATTTATTAATTTAGATCTTTTTTTTTTTATTTGTCGCCTGTTATAGACTTTAAATTTTGAGAAAAACTTCAGTAAGAATTGGCAAAAGAAAATTGTTCATATGGGAATTAATGGTCTGTTTGAAACAAAGCAGTTCATTATTAAATATGTACCTGGCCCCTTTAAAATGTTTATTCAGCATCTCTGAGAATTTTACTAGAAAAAGTATGAAATTTTTTCTTTTCAACTAATTAAAACATAATAAATTTTCAAGACCCGAAAGTTTTATTTTAAAGATATATATACAGTCAAAAGTCTTTAATCCAGACGTCCATAATCCGAACCGCAAAGTTACAAACTTTCTGCGCATGTGTCAATGCTTAATGCGTTAACGCATGCGCATAATGCATTTACACATGCACGTTTAATGTATAACGGACGGTATAAGCTAAGATTATCTAATTATCTATTTCAATTAATGTTACAGATTGTGTTGTTCCTTAACCTTCTAATTAGATTCGGCTTATTATTTTTTGCAGACTGTTAGACCAATTTTATAAAAGTAAGCTTGAACTTTCGATTATGTCAAAAAGAATTTCCATTTCTGGAGCTACCAAAGGATCTACAAAGCGAAAGCATGTTTCGATGTCCATCAAAAATCAATGTTTCGATGTCACAAAAAGTGGAATTGCTGAAAAAAAATGGATAAAGACATATCCTTTGATTCTCTAACCATTCCGAAATATGTTATGTTTATAAATTTCATGCTGCTCCGCGGGGGGGGGGGGGGGCGACGCAGCGCGCAATGAACCGGAAGTTGATCTGTCAGCACTATCCTTATCTTCAGGGCAGATGTTTTTACTTAATTCGGCTTATAATTCCTTACTAAATGTAGTATTTCATCTTTATGTACTTTGTCTTTGATATGATTTAAATCAAATTCCTCGTCATTATAAATATCACGAATACACATCAAATAGTTTTCTGGTAGCAATTTTCTAATTTCGACTATGCGTAATGTATGCTTTACGCATGCGCATGTTGAAAAAAATGTTTTTAATGAAGTAAACAAATAATATTAAGCTTTTTTTTTTTTTTTTTTTGTAATTTTGATACCCATTAGATCATAATTGCTCTTTATTTCATAAATTATGGTTTCATATTTTTAATTTTATAATTTCTACATGCCCATCTTAACCAGATTTAAACTGATGATCTATAATCCGGAAAAACCGATAATCTGGAATAGCCGAAGTCCCGCCGAGTCCGGATTAAAGTCTTTTGACTGTATATATATCTAAAAGAAAGTTTTACATTTATATAAATTCTTTTACCTATTATTTTTAACCTTTTTCATAAAATTCTCTGCGTTATTTTAAGAATTGAAGATATATGTTTAGGATAAATACTTCAGAAAATAAAGGAAACATTTTTTTTCAATATCCATTTGACGTTTTTTTTATTGCTTAAAATAAAAGCACGCTTAACTAAAAAAAAGGGGGGCACAGCAATTTAAGACATATATAGAAATGAAATTGACATCCATTCTAGAAAGCATCAAGGTTGATATTGACAATTACACATTCACAAGTTTTCTTCACCGACATCAGAATAACTATTAATATAATATTGCCACATTAAATATATATATATATATAACTTTAAAACAAATTAATTAAACATAGTTTATTTTCTTAATTATAAGTACTGATTATAACAAAGATGTTCAGACACAACCTTTTTTAACTGAATAAAAATACTTAGAAAAACTACTACTACTAAAATAATGAGATATGCTGATAAATACATTTTTATTTCATTTTCAAAAGCTGTTCTACGATTTCACTGGGTAGATCATTTCTGTTTTCTCTGGTAACCTGAAAAGCAAGCAATATTTGAAAAAAAAAAATGCATAAATACTAAATAATATATCAAAATTATCCAAAACCTTTAAAAAAAAAAAAAAAAAAAAAAAAAAAAAATCATATTTATGCAAACTCTAAAAGTATAACACCATACAAAATAACTGGTTGCTGATGTGCAACCATGATCTTTAAACTGCTGGTCATTGGTGACAATCTTTATAGAAACTGGAATACATATTTTTAATTAAAAAATATATCTAAGTTTGTTGCTTCAGCCCAAACCAATGCATTGACTGCCAAAGACTGTCAACTTGTAGGTCACCGGTGACCAATATCCCTGAAGGACACTAGTATTCTTTGACTTAATTTAGAAAAAAATTAAAACCTAATTTACTATATCTCAGTAGATCAGTGTCCCTTAAACTGACTGCCTACATTTTACAAGAGATCTGTTATAACTCTATAAATGACAAGCATTCAACAGCCTTGATGGGCATTGCTATCCTAAGATTTAATTTTAACTTTAAATTATATATAAATTTACTTCACTGTCTCACAAAAATGATATAGCAGGGTTCGTAAGGTCCTTAAATTTTTTGGAATCGGTTTATGGTCCTTAAAAAACCTTAATTTTGTCCAAAATCAGTAGAAGGTCCTTAATTTTAATCATCTGAAATTTCTATCTGTTTTTATGACTGCCATTTTGAGTGTGAATTAGCATTTTGGAGGAATATTTTTGGCGATTCACTGACGTATATAGTTATCTTCTGAATGGGTTCAAGGGTTATAACTTGTTTCTATTTCTAATATAAATCATGAGATACTCGAGTTTCTAAGCAAGAAGTGAAACATAAGCATTTCGAAATTTATTTTTTTGTAATAAGCTCTTAAACAATTTTCGCTTTTGGGGATGTGAATTCTTTTATTAAATGGTTCTAAATTTGGTGACTTGTCAACATTTTGGCGATTTTAAGATCAATTTCTATATAAAATTTTTAATTCCGAAATCTGAGAATTTTTCGACGTTTTTTAAAAATTCATAACATTGATAAATTTCATTAAAATAATGGTAATATTTTGGAATTATATTTAAAAAATAACATTAAAATAAAACATTTTTTATTTTTCGCTATCATATTATAAAGTTTCATTTTGGCAACTTATTATACAATATTTTGAATCTGAAAAATAAACAAAGTATAATGCTATAAAACATAATTTACGAAAGAGCTCTTAACAAAAGCAAAATTAGTTATGCAATTAATTAAAAATGTCTTCTTTTTAATTTTTTCATAGTAAGCTTTTTCCCATGTAATTGTCTCAGAATATTCAAAATTCTCTGAATATGCATCAGTTTTTCTCTATAAAATAATTTTACACTTTTTCCCTCCCCCTTCCCCCCCAAATATTTCTGGCTTTTTGCTGTTGCAGGATAATTTTTCTTTAGTATTTTTGACATTGCAGCTTGGAAAATTTAGAAGGATTTGAAAGCAAGATTTATAGAGCCACAATTCTAAAAGATTTGAAAAATATGTGACAAAATGATAAATGTCTGCATGGTATCAACGCGTAATGGATGTATTTTACAGAAAGTTTACAATTAATTTGTTACTTTTTGGAGAACGTCTGGAAGAACAATGAAGACATAATATTTTAATGTTTTACACCTTAGAATCTTTTTCTTAACACGTTTATCTTCCCTTTATTTTCTCTACTTTTCACTATACACAAGCATGGGAAATATCAAAAATGCTTCTAATCTTATCACTTGGGCAGGCATTATAGAAAGGGATTTTTTTTTTATTAATAAAGAAATTGAAAACTTAATGTAAAATATTCATCTAATATGTCTTAATGCATCATGCACATAGCTGGCACTAGGCATTTTCCCATCTGATGCAATCTCTATGGATCCTAAATTCGACTGCATAGTGCCTTTCTAAATTCTGCTTCCAATGCCTGCTCTAAATTCTAAAAGTTTTGCCATTTCTAGATTTTGGTGTGTCACTAAATTCTAAAACTTCCGCCACACCAGCTCTGTAACCGGCCTTTACCATATATATTTCTTCTGAATTTCATATTACTAAAGAAATTAAATTAGTCACTTTTTCTATACATTCTAAATGCATTTAGTGTTTTTTAGAAAAACAGAAATCCTTAATTAAATCCAAAATTCTAAAAAGAAAAGGAAACATGCTGAAGAAAGAAATTGAGTACATAAAGAAAATTATTCTTAAAAATATGTGCAATTATTATGTAAATTACCCAATTGTTCATGATTGCAGCCTTTATTATAATTTCCCAATTCTATTTGCAGCCTTTACTATAATTTCCAAATTCTATTTCCTCATATGATAGAGTTACTGAGCCAAATTAAATTTAAATTAAATTGCATAATCTTTGACCACTAGTCTACATTTTTAGTTTGAATTTGACTGTTCTTGTTTAATTACGTCATCGTGAGATGTAATTGACTTTGTTAGCATCAGAACATGCCTTAAAGTTTGTTCTAAGTTCTTTTTAAATAAGAGGCTTATTTAAACCTTTGTCTGATATTGTAGTTACTTTCAGACAAAGTGATAATTTGCTTCACATATATCAGGGGTTTTGGACTATTAAACTTTTAACAGATCAAGTAAACCCTCATAGGTACATTGTGGAGAGGTTGACAAGTTAGGAGATAAAGCATGTAGAATCTAGTGAGAGCATTGGTTTGCATATTGAGACAAATCTCTAATTATTGTTAGAAAAGATGCTTAAAGAGAAGAAAATCAATATAAACTAGCCAAGATGTTTGGGAAGGCATCAAATTAAAATGACAGATAAATATTTTATTCAGTGTTGTTGTTACAAAACATAAATGTTTTGTAGCTTTTAATGTGCAATTATTCTAATATCGTTTAAGAATCAGTGTCATAAATTACATGTATTTTAAACTGTGAAATTTTATTAGATTTTGATTTTAATAGGGCTTTTTTAACAACTATTTACCTAATTTAATTATTTATAACTAACTGCTTACCCTTAAAAATTACCTCTACATAAGGGAGATTGCTTACTTAATACTCTCTGTGGTCACAAGATAAAACACAAAAACGTAGAAATTCAAGTAAAACTTATTCTTTGCATCTAGTGAGACTTAAAATAATAGAAAACAACTTATCACCTCTGGTGCTTTAATGGCTTATTGGAACTCTACACAAAGCTATGACACTAACTGCATGAAACAGAGCCTGACTAACTTTTAACACCTGGCCAATCGTGCCTTTCAGGTTTGTTCTAATCAGCAGGTCTCTCTCTAGACAAACAGCAGCAGTGATAACATTCAGTCTTTTGTTATGAATGATGCTGATTATGATCTTACTTCTCATTTTAACCTATGCCTTTTGACATAAAATCTACCTGCTATTTACTAAACCTCTAGACCACCCGTTCTCAACCTTTTGACTAATGTCTACCTTCTAAACAAAATTTGAAAAACCTTTAGTACCAACACTACTAAAGTACTACACCCCACCACTCTTGAACAAAGCTCAGATCGCATAAATTTACGAGTGTTAGAAAAAAACTAACCAGGAGTCGGGGTTTTAATTTTGAAATAAATAGTTAAAAATACTTTGCTTCTTTTGTGTACCACCGGTTGAGAACCTCTGCTTTAGACTGACCAATATGTGACAAAATGAGACACACACACACACCAAAAAAAAAAAAAAAAAACCCAAAGCTAACTATTAGTAAAACGAAATGTCATTTATCTTCTTTCAAATATGTCCAACCTATTATAGTGTAAATATTTAATGCACTTGATAACTGCATGAAGTTTATTTTATTCTCAAACTTATTAATAATTATGTTAATTAATTCATGTTTAGTAATAATGCATACTACTTAGGGATCTATTTTTTTTGGATGGTATTACAAAAGTGAATTAAGGCATAGAATAATTTTTAAGTGAAATTTTTCTTTCCCATTTCATAGGTCCTTAATTTTTTTCATTAATGGTCCTTAAAAGTACTTAATTTCCGTATGCAGAAATGTGTACGAACCCTGTATAGAAGTTGAACCTAAGTAATCTTTAACCAAAAGGTGGTTGGTGACCAGCAGTCTTCATGAACATCAGCACGCTTTGGTTTAGTTTGAATATTCAAATAAATTTAGACACTATCCCACACCAGTAATCTTTCGATTGATATCAAGTGACCCCTCCCCCAACTTGAAAGTTATCAGTAACCAGTAGCTTTAACAGAAAACATCTACAATTTAGTTTGATTTTATTGTAGCAAAGTACATTGGTGACCTAGTTTGATATATGACCATCAACCTATAGATCACTTATCAGAATCAACACTTTTAATGAGATTTCTGGCAAATGAGAAATGGGACTCCCTTCTAATTTAATGAGAAATGGGACTCCTTTCTAATTTTAATTAAAAAAATTTGTTCTGCTCTACATCATTTGCTTCAACCTGTAAGTCACTGGTGACCAACAACCTCAACAAACATTGATATCTTTTGATTTAGTTTTAATTTACAATACTACATAAATTCACTGTACCATCTTACACAGATGACATTTGTTGCCCACAAGTGACAATCAATTTACAAGTAATTTCTAATCCTTGATGATCACCTTTAGTTTATTTTCTTTTAGTAGTCTTCTTAAACGATATAATTTTTAATGTGAATGATTGATATGCGTCTAATTAGTAAAATTTTTATTAACATCTGTAGCATCATCTTAATTAATAAAAAAAATTCAAATGCCACACATTCTGTTCTTTGTTTGTAATGGCTTGGGTTTTTAAAGTTTAAATATATAATTCTCCATGAATGCTGAAAATTAAAAGTAAAGCTTATTAGCTTAACTATATGTTACACTTCAGTACTGAGAAAACATACTTCTAGTATCATACAGTGGTGGGTGGTTATTTATTCATTTGGAATAATAATAATAAGGTTTGTTTAAAAAGTTCCTGATTAAAAAAGGCTCCTGAGTCTGTTCTAAAGTTTTTTACAGCACATCAATCTGATGTCATAGTGATATCTAGAAGGTGACACTACATTTCAGTAACTTTGTCAATATTCTTCTCATCTACAACACCTTTGAATTGTGATTAGTTGTCATATTATGTTGCTCTGTTCAAATATTTGTGTTTTTTCTGCGATTTCAAAATTCATGATTTTCGTGAATAGCATATTAACACAGATGTTTGGACATTCAGATTTAAAAATAATAAATCATTATTTTGATATTCGAAAGGCATTTTTTGCTTTTATGTTTAAATTTTTGTTTTTGTTTTAAATATTAAAAAATGTTCAAAAAGTAATTTTATACCATGAACCACCTAAAATATAACCATTTTATTAGGAAAACAAAAACAATATTTTTTTTAATATATTAAGCAAGAGTACAGTTAGTTTGATACTGAGAAAGAGCAAAAATGATATTAAAAAAGAAGAGAGTAATTTTTAATTCTTTTATGGCACAATACAAAACCAAAACTTGTTTTTACTATAATAAAAATTTAAATATAAAATATACCTGTACTAATGTACAGTCTTTACGATTTCTTAATTCATCAACAAATGGCAAAGCTTTCTTTGCAATAGGAATTGTTGCTAATATCTTAAAGTTGCCTTCATTAAATGCCTTTTTTGTTTTTTCTGAAAAGGAATGGCTGAATAGTTCCATTTTCCCAATTTCATCCAAGATTAACACTGAAGGTACCTATTTACAAATGATTAAAAAAATTATATAGTATATAAATAGAATCTTACTTTGCTTAGAATAGAAAGAAATTGAAAAGGCAAACATTTAATAGTAATTACAAAATTTGCCAGTTTAAAATTTACACACATCTTAAAAATATTTCTTTTTCATTAGCTTTTTAATCATCAGAGTTTTATGTTCCTCAGTCACTAAATTATTAGATTATCATTTTAATCTAATACTTTTCAGACAATAAGTCTTAATTTTTAATTAAGTCTTAACTTTTTAATCTAACACTTTTCAGACAGGATCAGGCACTTTCATTTAAAAACATAACACATCTGGCATGTTTTAAACATTACAATAACCTTCACAGAGGAACGACTCTTTTTATACAGCCAGGAGTATATTGTAGCCAGTTTGTATATAGTCCAAATTCCAAGATTTGGACTCTTCAGTTATTCTGAATTTGGGATTTTTCTGGATATTGGATCATCAGTTTAAATCTAGTGTGATGTCATTAAAACTTATAAAATTAAAAATATAAAATAATGAAGCATTTATGACCTTAAGGGAATAAAATTTTACCCCCTCCACCATTAAAAAAAATTCCACAATATTTATTTGTTTGCTTCATTAAACATTTTTTTTTACATGCAAGTTGTTAATACTTTTTCTTTAGTTCTACAAACAGACATATACAAAAAGTCCCATTGTTCAAGTCCTATAAGTGCTGTGTTGAGAATTTCCACTAAATTAAATGTCTATAATTTTTTTTTTTTTTTTTTTTCTTCTCAACAACCTTTCCTTTCACTTTCTTAACTATAGTGATATTTTTTGAATTTAGAATCATACAATATCTTCATCCGTTAGTTGACTCATTGATGATTGGGACATTATCATTGCAATGAAAAACTGCTGTTATATCATCTTCATTTATTACCACTTCTCCACATTTATTCACAAATTCCATTAACTGGAAAATTTGCTTTTTATTTGCAACATCTGGAAACCTTCAAACTCACAGCTATTATAATAATACTGAGTTAGTATCTGCTATACACAAATGGCAATCTATCATGAGATTGAATAAAGATATGTTGTTCCAGTAAATTTCGTCTTGTTACTATCTCACATTGACAACAGTCTGAAATATATTAATTTAGCTATTTATTATACTTATGATTATTTACTGTACATGCTTAAAGGTTTTCTGAGTAGTTAATAATTCCCATACATACTTAATTACAGATAGCATTAGATATTTTGCAACCCAGTGCATTCTCTGCGGGTATGAAATTCTGCTACCAAGCCCTCTCTGGATTCTAAAAATTTTACTTTCAAAATTTCAGTTCCTTCCCTAAATTCTGAAGATTTTGTCATCCCTTAATTTTGTTGTTCGGTGCTTCTCTTAATACTGAAAACTTTGTCTGCCCTAAATTTTTCCACCTACTAAGGCCGCACAAACTTTGGTACCTGTTCTGGGTTTAATTAAATAACAAGTCAGTTATTATCAATTCAAACAGAACTAAAGGTAATTTTTTGGCCTATGAGTATTATCATTTACAAAATCTATTTTTTGCATATGTAAAGAAATTTATGTTAAATTTTTCTTCATCAACGCACTCAACATTTAGAAAAACTGAAGTCTGCACTACACAACTGAAGTCTGCAATCATGGCCAAGCATAATGTCAACATAAAAGGTTATCATGCTTTTTGATATTTAATTACTAATATATATATATATATATAAATGTTTAGATATTGCTGATTTAGAGTCATTTCTCAAGACACAGTTTGTTGATACTCATGTGATGATGAAAACAAAAAATATTAAATAATGATTTGCCAGGTTGGCATCAATGCAGAAGTGAAATTAAGAATCCCGACTCTCCACATGCTTTATCACGAAAAAATATCAAATAAGCATAAAGTATTAATAAAAGAATTCTTGAAAAAAGTTGCAGGTATTCTGGATATCTGGATTTTAGATCATTCTAGACACTGGACACGATCATTCTAGACACGAATTTCAGAATTTGTATTGCATGTATAAAGCACTCTGCTCTTATTTTGTTTAACGATCTGAGAATTATTTAAATGTTCTATAAATTTTAAAAATATGTTCACAAATATTACATAAATACAATACATAGTGTGGCTAAGAGATGCTGTTGCTAAGTAAGCTAAGGATACCAGTTTACATGCATATTATTTCAAAACTCTCCTCGATATTACTTCATCCACCTAACCACCACAAAGTTGTCAATTGTTGTTGAGTAAGCTTTCACTAACCTAACATGTGAAAAACACTTTAAAAAAAAGGGCTAAAATGCAATATCAGTCAAAACCAGTTACTTTTGGGATGCATAAAAATCTCTGAAACACACGTTATACAAAGGCACATAACAACATTTATTACAAACAGTTATTGTTTGACTATCATAGTATTCACATCTTTCACTTTTAATTGTTGAATTTTTTTCGATAATGTGATTTGTGGGATCCTTTCTCTTTTTTGCTTAAATTCTGAAAGAAAGATGGTTGGCTAGCACAAACAGTATATGGAGATGAAGCCTGCAAATTTTCAGAATATCCTTCATTGCTTTTGGCAATGCCAGTGCAATACTGCTTTGAAAATCTAACAGAGTATTTTTGAGGCCTACAGCAATCTTATAAAGTTTACATGCATTTGATTTAGCTACATGAATAACATTTGTTAAAATAGGCTGCAACAATTTCTTACTTTTTACTTGCACGCTGTATACATCGCAATAAAATTGTCCAGAAGGTCCATGCCTCCCATATTGTCTGATGAATTTAGGATGCTTTACGAGTACAGATTTGTTTTCTTTTCTTGAGTACCTTTGAGCACGGCACAAAGATAAACTGTATCAAAGTTAGTTGCCATACCTATGACAGAATTGTTGTTCCATTGAATTATTGTGATGCCATACTCTTTACCAAAAGTAGTGTCATATGTACCCCATTCTTCGTTTTCCATTTTATTTACAGGTATAATTGTACAATTTCCTTATCTGTATTCAAGAATTGTTGCAGTTGCATGAAATAATCAGCTTATTCAACTATGACAACAACATGTGTTACAAAAAAAAATTGTCGAAACTTACAAACTGATTTGTAGGATCTTCCAACACACTTAAAAAGATTAAAGATCTTTCAGTGCTTCCAACACACTTATTACATCTCAACCTAGTCCAAGATCAGTCAATGTCTTTGAATATTTTACAGAATATATAATAAACATACAAGTACTTTTCACAGGAACACAAAACACCAAACTTTGTACATGAGATATACAAGTTTCTTTTTAAGAAACATTTTGTACGAACATCTACCAAAATAAGGTATCATTTACCAATCTATAGAAAACGGTGTTGAAAACACCTCATACTGCTAGAAACTGGCATTTAAATTATTTAAAGAGAAACGAACCTTAGATGATTTTTTGATTTTTCAATTTGATCCAATGCATTATCAGCTATGTGCAATTTCTGCTTCATAGGTGGAGCGTGTCATTGCTGCACATACTAATGGATTCTTTGTTGACAGGAACTATGTACAGAACAACTTTTCCAAGCAATTGCTTTAGATGATTCAGAATTTTTTTAATAATTTCTTGAATTCAGACATTTTTTAGATGAAAAAATCTCAATCTAACCTGATACATCTTTCAGCATAGGTAAATCATCATTTAACATATCATCATCATCAATGCATTCCTTATCAATCACAATATCTGGTTCTGGGAGAAATGATTACTAAATCTATTTCATCTTGACCATCATCATCTAATGAAAGTTCTAAAACATCATATTCGTCTAACTCCTTCATAAATTATGCATTTTTGCTACATTTTAAAAAACGCATATTTATTCTTAAAAAAAAAAAAAAAAAATCTTTCAGATTTTATATTATACCCAAATGGGCATTTTTTTAACGTTTTGTGCGTTACCTTTATTTATTAAATATCATGTTCTTCGAACTTAAATCATAAAATTCAATTCAACAGCAATATCACAAAATATTTAAACGAGCATATCTTTAGAATTTGCAATGGCTTGAATCAATTACCTTTATGCAAGATGGAGTACCTCCACACATTGGAATCTGTGTACAGCAGTTTCTTTGGTAATATTTTACTAATGATAGAATAATTAGTCGTGCGTTTCCGACAACCTGGCCATCTCGCTCTCTAGATCTTAATCCCTGTGATTTTCGGCCGTGGGGTTACTTAAAAAATTTTGTTTATCGAGAATATCTGGTAACCTTGGCAGATTTGAAAGACAGTATCACTCTGCATGTAAGAAGCATCTCAATTGACCAATTACGATCCGCAGTTGAACAAGCTATCCACAGACTGCAGATTTTACATCTTGAAGAAGATTCATTTCCATCTCCATCTGAAGCAGCATCCCCTGCATCAATAAGGTCCTTGTGATATGAATGTTTGGTATGTTCAAATAAAAGGTGTTACAAATGTGTATTTTGTGTCTTTACAACATAGTTTTGTTGAACAGCACCATCTACTGGTGTTTCTAGAGCTATTTTTTCGCAGAATCCATTTCTCCATGCTTTGAATAGCATGTTCAAGAATTTTGGAGCCTTTACACTCAGTCTATATACATTCTATAATACAAAAGGTGATGGACCAAGAAGGAGTTATCTGAATGAGTCAAAACTCATGTGATGTGATTTACACCTATTGAAAATGAAACAAAAACGTTATCATGGGAATGGAATGTTTCATTTTAGGAGATACAGCTACAAAGGTAAAAAAATCAGTAATGCATTCGCCCACCTGTGGGTCTGTTGCAATGTTATTCACCTGAGCATTGACTCATAGAGTTGAAGATGCCTTCCTGCAGGACTGCTTATCATACCTGCTTAAACTGGTTAGACCAGCATAATTCAGGCACACTTGGAGATGCTTGCTCATTAGAGTCCAGATGCGCTTTACTGGGAAGAGATTTGGTGATCATGCCAGGGGGTAGTGTTAGATAAGAAGCATGAAAACAAACAGTAGAAAGGCATGGCAAATGCAGCTGAGCTTTATGCTGATGAAATGTAAGCCCAGGTATGCATGAAAGGAAGAGCAACATTACATATAGAATCATGCTGTATAATTGTCACAGATGACAACCGAATGAAAAGGCATACCATAACTCTTAGTTGTCAGGCTGTGTGGCGAATGACAGTCAGATAAGTATCCACCACTGTCCTGTATGTCTACAGATATGTCTCTGCTGGTCATTGGGCTGAATTCAAAGCAGGACTTATCAAAAACAATTCTACTACAGTCCATAAGATCTCAGGTCGAATGCACCTGGCACCACTGCAAATGTGCCTGGCTGTGTGTAGTGGTAAGGGGCAGTCGATACAATGAGTACAGTTACCTCAGCTCCCACTTGCTAAGTCATCTATGGTTACTGCAGTCACAAAAGTCCCAGTTATGCAGCAGATTGTTGACAAGGATGCAACAGGGGCTATAAGTGCCAATCAAATGATCACTCTGTCTTTGTATTCCGTCACAGTTCTCAGTTGACAGCTACCTTCTTGATTGTCTGCACGACAGTGGTTCAACATCATCGAATGGTAGCATAGGTAAAACCTTAATGTCTAGCAGTCGTGCAATTTTACTGCCCTATTTCCTTTGGTTCAATTGTAAATCCTTTCTCAAATAGTGACATCTGCTCATACTATTTGCGGACTCTTCTGTTAGACACTTGTACAGTTCATCTGGATTGACAAAACCTTATTTCCATGAAAGTTATTCCTTAGCATAGAATGTCCTTTGGTTTTTACACCATCTGGATGCTCTGTTGCATGGTGCTGGAAATCCAGTTAGACAGTTACTGGCTGCCAAAAATTAATCGTTTGCATATTCAGTCTTAAAGTACTGGCATATGCAATTTCCCCCACTTGAATAACTCCTTCTTGGTGCAATGCTTTTGATCTTATAGAATGTATATATATTGTTTTGACTTAACTCATTTCTCTGACAGTAACATCAGAACAAGACAATCAAATTCATCATGGCAAGGAGTGCAAAATTGTGCCTGTCATTTTCACAGGCACAGTTTTACATCATGTTTTATTGGTCTTGAGCACCATAGAGGTGACAGTACTACTTTACACAGTTCTGCCTCCCTTTCGGTATGGTAGTCAACGTCGCTAACCGCTATCCCGGTTGGGCAGCAGAATATAAATTACATCAAATATTATAAAGTTTGTTATCATCAAATATTATAAAGTTATAAAAATATATTATAAAGTTACAAATATTATAAAGTTATAAAGTTACAAATATTATAAAGTTATAAAGTTACAAATATTATAAAGTTTGTAAGATATGCTTACAGGAGAATCAAAAACGGGTAGGGCTAATTTTTCAAATGATGACACATCTACAAGATATTTGCCAACTTTTGGAAGACCTCTAGAACTTTGGTCACTGGAACTAGAAGATAAATTGTAAGGAAAACATTATTTTTTAATCTAAAAAATGACTAATTATTAAGAAAAATTATTTATTTTATAATAATAATATGAAGAAAACTATGTCACAAAATTTTTATTCATCATATAAAACACTGATAAATCAATAATGTATATTTGTAATCTTAATTTTGTTTACAAATATTTTTTTAATATTTATTTCAACATTGAGAAACCTGTGTATTTTACAGTTCTAGTACTTAAATCTGTGTATTACATTACTTAATTTAAATAACATTAGAAATTATTGGAGATTCAGCAGTTAAATGTTTTATTAAAATACATTGCATCCTTGATATAATTATGTAACTTCAATGCACATGTATTTTAAATCATTAAAAATCTTAATACTTATGACATAAGCCCTGGGTTAATATTTGGTTGGAGGTAAAAGGTTAACTTTAGCAAGCACTAGTAATGTTTGGTCATTATGGTGATGAGTTTCCTTTTCAGTACTGAAACAAGCTATCATATTTTTCAGGTGGCTGACTTTATAATTGCCGAAAATGAATAATTCACTATAACTCATCAACCTTGTACCCTCAACTGAAGATAAATTAAGTTCAGATTATACAGAAACTTATCACAAATTAAAAACTTTTGGTACTTTCAAAATTTTAACTTAGATATAGCTCTGAGAGTATTGTTGAAATGCAATAAGAATTATTTAATTTTTCAGGGTTCATTATATGAGGGTGAATCAAATATAAAAGAGAACAAAATTAATTTTACAGGGAACATCTATATTTCTTCAAATTATTTTCTAAATAAACTCCTCCTTTTATGATACATTTCCCCCGCTTTGGTAATTTTTTCATTCTGTTTTTGTAGAATGAAGCTCGACGGGTATCTAACAAGCTGCAAAATGTTTAATGTCTACTTAATCTTTGGACTCAAATCGCTTGCCTCCAAGAGCTTCTTTGAGGTATCCAAACATGTGAAAATCGTATGGCAATAAGGGTTAGAGTAGTTTGAAGGGCGCCTTTTGCATTATCGGGAAGTTGTTGTTTCATTTATTGCCAAGTTATTGTTTCACTTATGATAAACTGAGCAGTTGAATGCTATGGAAACCCTATTATGACGCAATCGATTGCTTGTTGCCAAAAATTTTGAATGACGGGAAAAAGATTTGTAAGGGCTTGTGATGTGTGTTGGTTAGGAAGTACATTGCTTGTTTTGTGGTTTAGACCAGGGTTTCTTAAACTGTGGGTTGCGATGCCCAAGGTGGCTGCCAAAAATTTTAGCAATTTTGATATTTCTTTAACTTATAATAATTTTACAATTACCAAGTATTTTTACACAATGTATCTGAAAATAGATAACGATAAGACAATACAGAAAAAGAAAAAAATGAAAATGTTTCGACGCATCCTTTTTATAATATAAACATTCATTTTCCTTGCTTTGCACGTGACGCTATCATTTCATTTGTTATTTATTTAAAATTTCCACATAGTTCTGTGTCTGAAAAATAGAAAATTAAAGTTAATGATCTAAAACTGCAATACAGTACAAAGTCCATAATCCAGACGTCCATTATCTGGACCTCAAAGCCACAAACTTTACGCATGCACGTAAAGAATGCTTTATGCATGCGCGCATTGAAAGAAATTTTTAATAAAGTAAAGAAATAAATATTAAGCTTTTTTTTTTTTGTAAAATTTGACACCTTTTAGATCATAATTGCTCTTTATTTCATAAATTACGGTTTCATATTTTTAATTGTATAATTTCTGCATGCTATCTTACCAGATTTAAATTGAAGATCTATAATCTGGAAAAATCCCTAATCCGGAATTGACGAGTCCAGATTACAGATTTTGTACTGTAGTATATTACAGTACAAGTGAAAAAATTGACAGTTTAACTCACGCCTGTGTTGGATTTGTGCAATACTTATGGAGGTCCCACAAAATTTTTGTAAATATTATGTTGTCCTGGGGGTTGCGACTGAAAAATGTTTAAGAAACCCTGGTTTAGACAGTAGAATGAATGAATATTGTAAGATTAATTTGAATATCTGTATGATTTGAAACAAAAGGGGAAAAGTGCATTAACTGACTGGTGTGTAAATGAAGAGTTACTTAGTAGCCATTATAAGTGTCCTGTTTGTAGGAAGGAAATGCATATGGTTGAATGTCAGAGGATATCGGCCCTGCGGAGGATATTTTTGTGAATTTATGCAGCGATGAAGATATACAGATTCTAGTTCAGATAATTTTAGGGGAAAACTCAAATAAGCGGCACTTGGAGAAATTTTTTCCGCCATCCTCAAAATTGCCATATCCTTGGGAGGAATTTTTTGATGCCGTCTTTGAAATGGCATCAAAAGGTGCTTTCCAAAAATTCCCTCTTCAGACCAATATTGGGGAGAAAAAGCTCTGCTGGGTAAAAATTGTGTAAGGCAAAGTGTAGCATTTGCATTGAGATAGTAAACCATACACATAGAATAAACTGTAAACGATTAATTATAGTTGGGATTAAGTAAATCTACGTACTTTTTTTCATCTTAGTATTTTATATTATGATATACAGTCAAAAGTCGTTAATTCGGACACCAATAATCCGGACCTCAAAGCTAAAATCTTTCTGCCCATGCGCCGCGTTGACGCATGCTCATAGACATTTTACGCGAGCGCGAGACATTTACGTCTGCGCAAGCGCAGAATACGTTTTCGCATGCGCATTTAATGTATAACGGACGGTATAAGCTAAAATTATCTAATTATCTATTTCAGTTAATGTTGATGATTGTGTTGTTCCTTAACCCACGAGCATACGCAACAGGTATGTCATACCCACGTGCATTTTTCTTTTTGTATATTTCTCACCTATTCTTTCATACAAGGACGAAACTTGGTGTAGCTGAGTTCAAGGTCACATACTTAAATGGGGGAAATTCCTGAGGTGACAGGTGCAATGGTTTTTTAGGAACAGCGTTGTTCGGGCATGTCATACCCGCGCGTGTACTCGCGTTTCTCAGTGAGTCACTTCGCACTTCTCGTTTTCAAGCTTTTAGCATAGGTTTTTCTTGAGTTGTAAGCATGGCGCCGTATATTCCTTACGATGAAGAGATGAAAAGATTGAGAAATCTTCTTGAAACAGTTTCTTCTGATGAGGATTCATTTAGTGAAGACGATGAAGATGTTGATGACGAAGAATATAATAGTAATCATGATTCATCCATAGAGAGTAGTGATTCAGATACAGGAATTGGCGCCAAAAATATTATAACTAAACTCCCTGGAAATACGAAGTATTCTAAAGACGTCTCAACACCTTTAGATTCCTGGTCACTGCTTATCGATGAAGATATGTTAAAACGTAGTCGACAATACAAATATTTATATTGATTCAATACGAGAAAATTTCACTCCGTGAATGGGATGCGAAAGCAACAAATGAGTTGGAAATCAGCTTTAGTGGAGCTTTTATTTTATTGGATGATTGCTTGTATTTATGTGGCGTTTATAAATCATCCCATGCGAACGTAAGAGAAATCTCTTATTTGTAGGCAGCAGACGGAACGGGAATGGACATATTTCGGGAAACAATGTCAGTGAACCCGATTCCTCTTTCTTTTACGATGTCTCTGTTTTGATGACATTAGAGATCGTCCCAGTAGAAGAGACGTATGGATAAATTAGCTCCTGATCAAGAGAATTTTTTGAAAATTTTCTCACAAACTGCCAAAAAGCTTATACTGTAGGAAGAGTATGTGACCATTAATAAGAAGTTGGAACCATTCAGAGGACGTTGTTCTCTCAAACAATATATGCCCAACAAGCCAGCAAAAGTATAGCATAAAAATATTTGCTCTTGTAGACGCAAGGGTATTTTATACCTGGAGTATGGAAATTTATGCTGGTAAACAACCAGATGGGCCATTTCAAGTTGAAAACGTTGAACCTACTATCGTAATTAAGTTGTCAAACGTTTAATAAGGCCCTTATACAACTGTGGTCGAAATTTAACAGTTGATAATTGGTATATGGGATATGAATTATCTCAATATCTCCTAAAGAAGAAAATTACGATAGTAGGTACAATAAGTAAAAATAAGAGAGAAATCCCATCTGAGTTTCTGGCAAAGAGAAGAGAAGTGTATTCTTCAATTTTTGGTTTTCAGAAAGAAGCAACACTTGTATCTTATGTGCTGAAAAAAAATAAGAGTGTGATCCTGTTGTCCACAATGCATTCCGACGATCAAATCGATGACTCTACTGGGGAATTTGAAAAGCCTGAAATCATTACATTCTATAACATGACAAAAGGAGCAGTCGATGTTGTAGATGAGAAGGCTACAGCAAGAGTAGCACGTCGGTGGCCTATGGTGATTTTCTTTTCAGTGTTAAACGTGGCTGCCATTAATGCAAGAATAATTCTACTATCAAAGAAGGAACCACCAACGGAATACCGTACCAGGCATACTTTTCCCAAAGCCTTAGGGATGCAGCTAATAGAAAGTGTTCAAAATGAACGACGACGAACATCTGTAGTTCCTGATTCTAGACAAACACTGACCACCGATGAACATGTTAACACAATGAACCACCCCCCAAAAAACCTAAAATTATTTACAAGAGGTGTACAGAGTGCCCCAAGAAAAAAGATAGAAAGACTATATTCATTTGTGAAAATTGTAGCAAAAGTATACGTATGGAACATATGACCTCATTTTGTAAACAATGTTAAAAAAATTGTAAGTAAATAATTTTACCTCTCCTTATTCTTTCATATTTTGTCTAAAATGAAGTATTAACTTGGTTTTACATTTTAATTTCTTTTAAAAACCGATTAATTTTATTTGGCAAATTTTTAATTACAAACTTTTCATTCGGGTACGACATACCCAGCGCGTGTTCTCGTGTTCGTCGGATCGGTGCGTGTGCTCGCGGGTTAATCTTTGAATTGGATCCGGCTTATTATTTTTTGCAGACTGTAAGAGCAATTTTATAAAAG